GTTTCATTGAAAACTTAACACAGAAGGTATCATACAGCAAGTAAAAACAATGTGAAGATATGATTGAATTTTAGGAATACTCTAACATGATTTGCTGCAATGCTATAAAAATTCATATATATATGAATGGTTTTTTGCTATTGCTTTCTTTTTGTTTTTGTTTTTGTTTTTATTACATAATGCAGTATATTCAAGTCTTTGTTTCTGTGTACTGCTAGGTTATCCAGATAAATTTTGAAGAATTTGATCTGGAGATTGGCTACGATACCTTGACAATTGGTGATGGGGGAGAAGTTGGAGACCCAAGGACAGTGCTTCAAGTGTAAGCTCTGAATGTTTTGTTTATGCCTTAGCCTATCAAGTATTTATGAAATTTTACTCTCAAATTATTATTATTTTTTTACATTGATCTCTCCCAGTACTACCAACAGAAGCAGCGTGGTAACTTAGTTATTATCACCAACCTGCATGTAATCTGTTAGTCCTTCGATGAGGCTTAAGGAACTTTCTGTCTTAGTCCATTCGGGCTGCTATAACAAAATACACTAAACTGGGTGGTTTATGAACAACAGAAATTTATTTCTTACAGTTCTAGAGCCTGAGAAGTTCAAGATCAAGGTGCCAGCAGATCTGGTGTCTAGTGAGGGCTTGTTATTACCTAACCTGATGTTTCTCAAAATAGGATCTTTCTGCATAACTAATGCATCACAAGTACCTGGCAACCTTAAAAATGTGGATTTCTGGACTCCTAAACCCGATTTACTGAATCGTCATCTCTGGGATTTAGACCCCAAAATCTACATTTTAACGGACTAATGAGATGATTCTTATGTACACCAAACAGTGAGAACTACTGATATGTTTTTTAAAATTATTTTCCACATACTCCTAAAAGTAATGCCCTTGTCATGTATGTACATCTTACTGTGTAAATTGACTAAAGGAAAGCGAATATTTTTTCTTTTCTTTCTTTTTGTTTAGTTTTCTCTTCTCCCCTTTTCTCTTCTTTTCTTTCTTATTTTACAAGAAGGTCTCCTAGTACTATTATTACAGAATCCTGTAATAAAGCCTTGGGTTAACATCATAGATACACATAGTATACTATAGGCCCTGATATTGCCTCTTAGTTCTTATCTTTCCAGGAAAACAAAAGACAAAAAACAAAAACAAAGCCTACACTTCTTACTTATCCTCATGAACTCTTGATCTCAACTTCAAACTCTCTTCTGCAACATAGATAACATTGATAACAGAATTTGGTTTTCAGTCTCAGTTCTACTGCAGTTCCATTTTGTGCTTCCTAAAAAAAGGGGGCAGTATTTTACATGCTCTACATGTTCAGTTACGTTGCTCGAATTTTTGGAAACTTCATCATTAACACTTCCCCTCCTAAAAATTATCAGCATTTTTGTCAGCATATTGAGCCTGTTAGGCATATCACCACATAAGACTGATATCTTCCAGAAATAGTCTTCAGTTCTTCTTAGATCTCCTTGTGGTTTTATACCTTCTTTTGACAAATTGGCGACAAGAGGCCTGGATGTTCAT